ACATCACGGGGCGGGCCCCTCCAACTCTTTTCCCTATGTGTGGGGGGACCCAGTTTGCCCACTGACCTAAGCTGGGACCAGAGACCCCCGCAACCATAGCAGGGAAGGGTTTGGGGGCACCACACGAAGTTGAAGAAAATGTCTCTGAATACTTAGGCGATAACTCGACAATTAGAAGCTCTCAAAGCCCCAACGGGGGTCCCAGCGCCCCCCTAGTCCCGGCTTGGTTTCTTCCACTTCCCAGAGAATTGGAGTATTGTCTTCTGGAGAACCTGGTGGTCGAGACGGGGACCCGGGGAAGGGGCTTTTACAGGACTGGGGGCGCCGGCGAGGGGCTCATGGGCGGAAAAACTTGCGGAGCAAGACGGGCTCTGGAAGGGGGACTAACGAGAGAGGCGTGTGCAGAGGAGGGGACCGACAGAGAGGGGACCCAAGTCTGGTCTGCGTGGGGGCGGGGGCGCGTGTCGACGTCGACCGAGAGCAGCTCGGTATGCAAATGAGACGCAAAGCAGCATGCAGATGAGTGCAGTGTTTTTTGGCACTCCGCTCGGGTCCTGAGCCCGGCGGAGCTACGTTCCTGGTCGCCTGGAATCGCTCCGTGACCGTGCCTGGGAGCTGCGTCCTGAGGGGTGGGTCTGGGCCGTGGGAGCTGTAGTTATACCGGGCAGTTCGCCAGCTGGGTCTGGCGCTGGGGAGGCCGAAGATTGCTGGGAAAGAAGGGGCAGTGCAGGGAGGCCAGGGTGGGGGCTAGCCCGGGGCGTCCTCCCCGCCGCTCCACCTCCGCATGATACAAAAGGTCCTCTGTCCTCGCTACAGGCAGGGAAAGGATCGGGGCGGTGGCTCCTCTACGCTCCCTGGTTTTGTCTGCAAAGGAAACAGACTGTGGCTCGGTGGCTATCCTCTATCTCTCAGTCTCTACAAAGCCCAAGAATACAGCCAGAGGAACCCTGAAAATCTGCCCCCAGTCCGCAGGCACAGCTGCAGCGCCCACCAGCGGTGCAGCCAGCGGGGATAGGACTCCAGCACTCGGAGGGCGGCAGCAGAGAGCCCTTTAAGGGGAGAGGCCAGTGTTTCCCTAGGACCGCCTCCTCCGATTTGACTCAGCGCTTGCTGGACTGGCTCGCGCCTCCGCCAACCGCCTTTTCGTTTCCTTCCCGTCTCTTCCCTGGTGACCCCGGAAGTGGAAGTAACCGTAGGTCGGTGGCCACGGCGGGGACGGAAGGCGGAAGCAGAGCGTGAGCGGGAGGCGGAGCCGGGGGAGCTGCTCTCGTAGCTCCCCCTGGCCCTAGGCCCAGCTGCTGGAGGGGGAGGAGTTACCGCCGCTCTTCCGGTACGTTACCTTTACCCCCTCTACCCAGCCCAAGGGTTTCCTGGATGTCTTTCTCAGCTGCAACCCTAAGCTCGGTCCCCCAGGTTTTTCTTAAGAGCCGCGCGGTCCCCACCCTTTCGGGCAGCCTGCGGCACCCCTTTCCGGTCGTCTTTCCCTTTTTCCCCCACGAGTGACCCTAGGACCACACCCTTTACGGTACCTCCCTCTTTCCCAGATTTTGGTTTGTAGCTTTCTGGGGGAAGAAGAAAAACTAAGGGGATTTGGAGGAGGGGAGGGAGCATGGTTGTGGTTAATGGAGTATTTGCTTATTGCTGGGGACAACGAACGCTCCAGAAGAATCTGAGAAAACAAGGGAGGTGGGTGCATTAACTGTATCCCCAATTTAAGATAATTTAGCCCCTCTCTTTGTGTCCTATACTTGATCATCCTCCACCTTAATACCTTTGTTACAGGCCTCAGAACTTATCATGATGGCTGTGACCTAAAATCCTCAGGAAGCCCCGGGGTCATGGCCCAGAAGCACCCCGGAGAAAGAGGGTTGTGTGGAGCCCACCACAGTGGTGGCGCCTCCCTCAGGACTTTAGGATCCTCTGTGGACCCTGAAATACTTTCATTCTCAGGACTCAGGGACTCAGCGAGGCCTGCTTCTAATGGTACCCGCTGCCTCACAGAGCACTCTAGTCCTAAGTACACACAGCCCCCAAACCCAGCCCACTGGTCGGATCCAAGCCATGGCCCCCCAAGGGGTCCAGGACCCCCTAGGGATGGAGAGGACCCTGATCAGAGTGAGGCATCTTCAGAGGAAGAGTCAGGAGTGGACCAGGAACTCTCAAGAGAGAATGAGGCTGGGTACCAGGAGGATGGGAACCCTTCTTTTCTTTCCATTCCATCTGCTTGCAACTGCCAGGGAACCCCTGGAATCCCTGAAGGGCCTTACTCTGAGGGAGGAGATAGCTCTTCTAGCAACTTTTGCCACCATTGTACCTCTCCAGTTTTGGGGGAAGATGAAGAGTTGGAAGAGGAATATGATGATGAGGAACCTCTTAAGTTCCCCAGTGATTTTTCACGTGTGCCCAGTGGAAAGAAACCACCTCGGAGACAGCGGCACCGCATTCCAGCCAAGGAGGATACTCGGGAAGGTGGACGCAGAGATCCCAGGTCCCCTGGCCGACATAGGCTGGGCCGGAAACGAAGTCAAGCAGATAAGCGCAGAGGCCTGGGATTATGGGGAGCAGAGGAACTGTGTCAGCTTGGACAGGCAGGCTTCTGGTGGCTGATTGAACTGCTGGTATTGGTGGGAGAGTATGTGGAAACTTGTGGCCATCTCATCTATGCATGCAGGCAGCTGAAAGGCAGTGATCTGGACCTTTTTCGAGTCTGGGTGGGAGTCTGGGCAGGGCGGCTGGGGGGCTGGGCCCAGGTGATGTTCCAATTTATGAGCCAAGGATGTTGCTATGGGGCAGGGCTATTAACCCGTTTTCTTAGGCTACTGGGTGCTTTGCTCCTCTTGGCTCTGGCCCTCTTGTTGGGCTGTCTACAGTTGGGCTGGCGGTTTCTGGTGGGACTGGGTGACAGGTTAGGCTGGAGGGGTAAAGCCACTTGGCTCTTTTCTTGGCTGGATTTTCCCACCCTGCAGCGTTGCCTGATTCTGCTGAGAGATAGCAGGCCATGGCAACAGTTGGTAAAAATGTTTCAGTGGGGTTGGCTGGAGTTGCCTTGGGTCAAGCCAAGGACTGACAGGCAGGGGAATGCACCTATAGCTGGTGGTCGCTACTGCCAGCCTGAAGAAGAAGTGGCTCGACTCTTGACCATGGCTGGGGTTCCTGAGGATGAGTTAAACCCTTTCCATGTGTTGGGGGTTGAAGCCACAGCATCAGATACTGAACTGAAGAAGGCCTATAGGCAGCTGGCAGTGATGGTGAGTATTCTTCCGTTCTGTTTCCTTTTCCTCTTTTGTTAAATTTTATTTTCTATTCCAATTTTAGGGAGAGTAGAATAAAGAGAAGGCAGAGTAAAAAGTCAACTTGAAGCTGGAGTAACTTTAATTCTTAGGAAACAGTCATAAAGACTTTTTCCCCTTCACTATGGGATCTGACTTTCCCTTCATTTTAAGTTTTTTGTCATGAGATTCTTAATAAAAAGAAATGAACCTAGTGGTTCAATGTTGGACCACTCACCCTGGAATTTCCAGGTGAAGTCCCTCTAACTAGGGTGGAGAAAAGGCCTAGTCAGATAGCCTGTCAATTCCTCTACCTTGAACAAAAGAGGGTTTTTTGAACATGGGGAAATCCAGCTATCTGTCCCAGAGAGGCAAATGTGGACCTAGAGTGGGAAAGTTCAGGAAATGCATGTGATTATTCCAGGACCAGGTGAAAGAAAACGTATTTCAGGACCAGCAATGTAGAGTGGGAAAAGGAAAGAGAACAGAGCATAAACCATAGAGAGGCGTGTGCATATGTATGTCATACGTGAAGATACAGTTGTCTGGTTTTTTTTTAAATTATTTTTTAATGTTTATTTAGAGTGTGAGCAGGGGAGGGGCAGAGAGAGAGGGGGAGAGCGAATCCCAAGCAGGCTCCACACTGCTGGTACAGAGCCCAATGCGGGGCTTGATCTCACCAACTGTGAGATCATATGACCTGAACTGAAACCAAGAGTCTGATGCTTAATTGACTGAGCGAGCCTTAAGTAATCTCTACACCCAACTTGGGGCTTGAACCCACAACCCTGGGATCAAGAGTCACAGTTGCCTTAATGACTGAGCTGGCCAGGCACCCCAAGATAGGGTTGCTTTTGTTGATAAGAGGGCATGGTACAGATGGCAGTTGTGATGCCCCATATGCTTCAGGGAAATGGTTTAACACGAGCATGCAATCAAATTGCTATTAGTAGATATTAGGTAATTATTTTTAGATGTGATGATTATTGCTATTTTCTGTAAGTTAAACTATATTATGAATATTAAGTAATGTGTGTAAATTCCATTGGGGGCCTATTTGAGTGTATGGAACTGGACTGGTAAAAAATCATGGTGTGTAAATTACCTCAATGATTGCATGACACCAAATAGGAATGAGTAACCAAGGTGTCCATTAACTATTCAAGACACAGTAATATACCAGGTGTGTAACTTAGCAGAGGACATTAGTTTGGTGGGAAATTCATGCCCCTTAGTGGATAGACGGGGGCATATTCTTAAGAGTGGGGAACAACAGCTTATACTCAGTTAGATACTAGTAGTAGAGCTCTTTTCTCCCTTTCATGTCTTTCTTTTTTTTTTAAGTTTATTTTTATTTTTTGAGGGAGAGAGCACACACAAGCAGGAGAGGGGCAGAGAGAGAATCCTAAGCAGGCTCATGGGGCTGGATCCCACGACAACGAGATCATGACCTGAGCCAAAATCAAGAGTTGGCCGCTCAACCCAACCCAACCCAACCCAACCCACTGAGCCACCCAGGCGCCCCTCACTTTCATGTCTTTTAGCAGATAATCCTTTCTTGGGAAATATTGTCACAAAATTTTTCATTTTCAACTTATTTTCTTGGAGTAGAGATGGAGTTAAGTCCCCCAATCTTCAACACACCTGTAACACATGTAAGAATTCTTCCTTGTTCTGGGCCAGTGTCTGTGGGCTTCTTTTATGGAACCTCTCACTGCCCTTATTAGGCCCAGAGTGACCATGACTAAAAGGCTGTTCTCTAAGCTTGGATATGTGGGAGATTTAGCAGCATTCTATTTATTTGGCATCATCAGGAGACTAGCTTTATTCTGTACCTTTGGAAAATAAGGATGGGAACAATCAAGAAGCTGTAGGAAGTAAGGATACTATTTGTCCTAGAGAAAAGGTTGAAAAGTGGGTAAAAGGCCTGTGAGGATCACAATATGCTATATTTCATTTCTGGGACAGAAAGGCAAACTGTTGTAGGAAGTATATATGAGAATTTTCTAGTTAAAAAAGAATGAGTTTGAGGATATAATATCCTTGGAATTCTTTATGATTGATGATAAAGCTAAAATGTGAGGGCTTAGTATATGTATACCAGGTAGCGTATACATCCCTGTTTGCCTGGGATTGAGGGTTTCCTGAGACATGAACTTTCAGTGCTAAAATTGGGACAATCCCAAGCACACTGAGATGGTGGATCACCCTAATGCCAAATTCTGTACTATGTACATCATGTGTATTCTCATTCGATACTCCCAATAATCCGTGATAGATGCAATATTCTAGGTCATATAGCTAATAGTGACAGACCTGGGTCTTGATCCTGAAACTATTTGCAGAGCTAGAGCAATTACTTATCTAGGTGTATTGACTCTCCAAAAGGGTGGTCAAAGAGAATACTTTGATATGAGGTTATTTTGACCTAAGATGGGGAGAGAGTTGGAATGGATTTGTGAGGAAATCTTTGTCTTGGTAGGTTCATCCTGACAAAAATCATCATCCCCGGGCCGAGGAGGCCTTCAAGGTTTTGCGGGCAGCTTGGGACATTGTCAGCAATCCTGAAAGGCGGAAGGAATATGAAATGTAAGTGGGAAATAGGAAAGTGGGGTAAATGAGTAATCTTCAGTAGTAGAGGTCCCTGGACTTGTGGCTGGAGGAGGCTCTCTGAGGTGGAGGGAATTGGGGTTGCTTATTTTTCTCGCTGGCCAAGAGCCTCAAGAGGCTAAAAGATTCATCTCCCTTTGTCCCTTGCTCAATACCCTCTCATTTACAAAGGTTTTCTTCTCTTAGGAAACGAATGGCAGAGAATGAGCTGAGCCGGTCGGTGAATGAGTTTCTGTCCAAGCTGCAGGATGACCTCAAAGAGGCAATGAACACTATGATGTGCAGCCGATGCCAGGGAAAGCATAGGTATGAAATAGGACAGGAATGGGACAGCCACAACTTAGGGATTGGGTAGCCAAAGACCTCCTTGTGAGTATTTCTGGTAGTTGGGGGATATAGATGATGAGTAAAAAGACCCTGAGGTTTCTGCTTTTGCCATCGTATCAAGAGATTGGGGATTTGAATTAGCAATAAAAAAAAAAGTTATTTTTAGATTTAATATAGAAGGCTGAGGGTAAGGGTGTTTGTAGGCATATGTAACAACTGAGTGGAGATAATTTTAGATCTTTCAGCCATCTTTGTTAATAACGAGGATATTAGGGGTGCCTGGGTGGCTCAGTCGGTTGAGTGTCCGACTTTGGCTCAGGTCATGATCTCACAGTTTGTGGGTTCGAGCCCTGCGTCGGGCTCTGTGCTGACAGCTGAGAGCCTAGAGCCTGCTTCGGATTCTGTGTCTCCCTCTCTCTGCCCCTAATCCACTCGCATTCTGTCTCTGTCTCTCAAAAATAAACAACAAAAAAAAATATTATACACTTGATCTTAGCCAAAAGGCTGAGAAGTGATCATAATGATGATACTATAGCAACACCGTAGGCTTGACAAATTAAGGAATTTTTGTTGTTGTGTTGGGTGTAGGAGGTTTGAAATGGACCGGGAACCTAAAAGTGCCAGATACTGTGCTGAGTGTAATAGACTGCATCCTGCTGAGGAAGGAGACTTTTGGGCAGAGTCAAGCATGTTGGGCCTCAAGATCACCTATTTTGCACTAATGGATGGAAAGGTGTATGACATCACAGGTATACTTCTGTTCTCTAGAAATATGGGCTTATGTACGCTCAAAACTATAATGTTTTGGCTAATTATTTCTCATGCTTGCAGAGTGGGCTGGATGCCAGCGTGTGGGAATCTCCCCAGATACTCATAGAGTCCCCTATCACATCTCATTTGGTTCTCGGATTCCAGGCACCAGTGGGCGGCAGAGGTAAGTATTATTTCTTTCAACAATCTACCTGCTATTCTAGTTCTGAGTATGATTTCAGACGACATGCCGTTTAGGACACCTAGATGTCTCACCCTTAAGAAGTCTGGCAACTGACTTAGTATGTCTTTAACTTAGGTATAAACAGGTAACAATATAACTCAGTATTTCTTGCCTCGTTATGTCTTCTATTGTCCCCTCAGAGCAGCCCCAGAAGCCCCTCCTGCAGACCTTCAGGATTTCTTGAGCCGGATCTTTCAAGTACCCCCAGGCCAGATGTCCAATGGGAACTTCTTTGCAGCTCCTCAGCCTGGCCCTGGGGCCACTGCAGCCTCTAAGCCCAACAGCACAGTACCCAAGGGAGAAGCCAAACCGAAGCGGCGGAAGAAAGTGAGGAGGCCCTTCCAACGATGACACCCCTTCTCTTCTTTCCTCAGATCAATGTCAGGGAGTCAAAAGGGCTGTGTATAGCACAGGATGGAGTTTTGATTTGTTTATTTTTAAATATTGAAAAAAGGGAAAATTTTAAGTTCAAATTGTTCACTCAGTACCTGTAGGAAGCCCCAGAACCACTCTCCCTCCTCCACCAGCACCTAGGAACTGAAACTTGTCTTTAGACAATACCAAAGAAATAGGGGGTGGCTAGAGCAAAGAACCTAGAGCCTGGATCTGGGCTGGACAGTATCTCCCATGGTAGCATGGGAACTGGGTATTTCCCTGGGGTCTGTATGCCTTTGTCTTTTGCTTCTAGAGCAGATGACACTTCCCCCCCTCTTTTAAAACTGTAAGTCTATCTGATTTCCTGACCCATTTCAGGAGGGAGCCCCCTCCTTTACCCCAACATACTAGTTAAAAGACAGAACAAGAAAGCATGTAGCCCTAATTATAGGAGATTATACATAGAATTCAAAGAGTGGGAACTCTACATTTTTCCTGACATTCACCTTGTGGGTAATCACCCAACTTCATGCTTGTTGCTGCAGGGATGGCCAAAACTGATAATTTTTAAAAAGCAGACTCATGCCCTCTGCCCTTGGGTGAGAGGGAAGGAAAAAGGGGCTCCCAGCAGCCCCTTTATGATCCAAGGGTTTGTATTTTTTTAAGTTTGTTCATATTTGTATGTACATATCTATTTAAAGCCAGGGGATTATCTTTCTATAAATATATAACTGGCAACCTGTATCTTCCCTTTCTTCTTTGCCCATATAGTGGAGCCCTTTTTCTCACTTGAGAATCCTTTTCCTACTCTTAGCTGAGAGTGAAGGGCATCTCCTACTGGACCAAGGGAGAGGGGATAAAAAAAAAATACCTTAGAGAAGTTTTATACAGAAAGTTACTATTGTTTCTTCCCCAGTCTTATGAGGACATTTCCCAACCCTTCATGCTGACCGAACTGTAGTCATATCTGAAAAAAAATTATCTTTATTATAAGGAAAATACACAGTAAACCAAAGCTGGAAGGTAGTGGGAGTGGAAGATCTAGAAAAACTTAAATCACCAAACAAGCTGCCCAAACTTGGCTTCCTTCTGTGGAAAAAAGAGTGATTTGGCCCTTATCTTTCCCACCTTTCCTGATTTAAAGAAACCTGCTGTTAGCAGGGCTGGGCCCAAGGAGGCCCATTTTCCTATCTGTTCTCTTCCTGGGAGTTTGGGAAAGGTGGTATAGTTCTCAGGCTTTCAAGATACAGAAGACAGTATGGAGAAGGAAAGGATGTTACAGCCCTTTGGTCCAGTGTCATCCCCAGCCCCATCCTTCAGTATTTGTTGATGCCAAAGAGACGAACCCCATGGAATTGGGGTAACTTAGGCAGCAGTACACTGAGCAATGAGGCTGTATTGATGAGGAAGTGAGCAGCATCATACTTGGTGTAGAAGCTGGTGAGGAGGTAGCTGTGGAGAGAAGAAATGGGTTGAGTGAAGCTGGCCTTCCCTATCCGTATTTATGCCTTTCCAGTGACTTTCTCTTCTATTTTAAATGACCAGTTTTATTGCATGTAGTCCTAGAATATCTGAAAATATTCCAGTCACTTTAACAGTGTTTACTTTGGGGTTGGGGAGATAATCAGATGACACCTTTAACTGGAGATTAAGTTAGAGTGTTTTTTAATTGTTAATGACATGTGGCAAATGACAGCTGAAGCCTATATGTCAGAGTCCCTTTGTTTCCATTCCCAACAGTTTTCACACATTTATATAATCTCTGCTTTATTCATTCACTTCCTCTGGAAGTGTAACACCATTTGGTTTTACTTGGCGTTTTCTTAGTCCTTTCTCCATTCCCCTACCACCAAAGGGACAGCAAAGAAAACCTATTTACTGTCTTCCATTTCTTTACTGCTCTTCCTAGATTTAGATCATACCTTATCTTCAAAGTGTTTAAGTGAGTAGTCTGCTTTTTTAAAACTTCCCTGTGGGTGTTTGTACTTGGCACTTGGAGCATTTCCCACCTCTCCCCCTGGACTCACAGTACAATAGGAGAGATGCTGAGGAATTTGCGGGAAGAGGTAAATTGGAGCCCGTAGTCCATCTGTTCCCAGTGTGTCAGTAGCCGAGCCTTTCCTTGGTCAGGGGTCTCAAAGGGTGTCCCTTTCACAGTATGTAAGAAGACATACATAGCCTGGGAAGAGGGATGGGGGCAGTGTGAGGAAGCAGAAAATGGTCCTTCAGCCCAAGAATTACACTGAGATCCCCAAAGGAAGACATACATCCCCAAATAATTGGTGCTTTTGGTTTTGGTTGGGAAAAGCCTGGGTTAGGTATAACGGTGTGGTTTAGTGCTCACCAAGTTATGGATGACGTTGGTCAGGGTCCAGACAACAGGAATGCTGAAGAAGGGGATGCTGAGTAGAACCACATGCAGCAGTCCTACCAAGATGATGTAGGCCAGCCAGATGCCCCGGCTATTCATCACTCGAGTGTTGGGGTTCACTTCACTGTGTGCCACCCCTACATTCATCCTACCACAGTGGGGGATCAGGCAGGAGTCCTACTCAATTTCCTCTCCACCTCTTTGAGTTTGTTCCCCGAAGTTGTCTCCTGAATAGTCCAAATCCCCTGACCTCTATTGGGAAAGAAAGAACTTCCCCCACTGCGCACAAAGGAAAAACTGAAGACTTAGGGAAGAAAACTTGAAAGACGAGATGGGTCCTCTCTACTCTTCAAGACATTAATAGTAATCTTTACTCTGATCCTTACACTTCAACTGTAACTTGAAGGGGCACGCCTAGGCTTGGGGCAGGGACTTCAAGCAGCAAGGGAAACAAGTATCTCACTTTCCTGAAGAAGCTTATAAGAAATCAGAGAGAGGTTACATGCACCAGAATTTCATTAGAAGGTCATGGGAAACAAGGAGCCACTGAGAAACGTTGTGGTAATAAAACTACTTCTAATTCCCACCTTTTCCTCTGGGGCTTGCCCGTCCTGTCTCTCCTCCCCTTAGCATGTGAGCAGGCAGCATCCCAATTCCTTCTCTCAAGCGTCGGGCGCTGCCAAGTATTTACCCGTGGCTTTTGGATTGAGCTACGAAGGGACCTGCGCTCAGCATCCTGAGAGATGGAGCCCTTTCCCCGAGTCCAGGGGCGGCTCTGAGCGTCTGAACCTGGCTCCTTGAAGTCGTGCTAACTCTAAACTTGAGGTCTGTTTGGGAAGCAGATCTCGTCCCTCCCCCTTACTTAAATTCCTCACACCCCGCTATGAAACCACCCCAAGCTCCTCCCAGCTTCCCTCTCTCGTTTGTCGTTCATTGGCTGTTCTCAAGGCTCTCTTCAGAGCTCCTCTCTCGGTATTTAACTCGCCGCTGCTCTGTCTCCCTCCTCCCCCCCACCTTTCGGCCCTCACCAGTTTTCCTCAGCACCCCTTTCCAGTCGGCCGGCCGCCCCTACCTGCTGGCTTCAGAAGCCCGTGGGGCTCGAGGAGCGGCGCTCGCTTCCACACCTGCGGTCTCCAGGAAGCAGCCGCCCTCGCCCATCTGCGCTCTTTCTATTGGTGGAACAGAATCAGCGCTGCCACCACCCATTGGTTGGCAGTTTGCAATGGAGCCGCGCAATTGGTCTCCAGTTCCGCCGGTCGGGAAGTGCGGAACCCGCCCCTCTCCCTGTCCCACCTTTTGAGAGAGGTGGGGAAAGCTGCCTGGAAGAGCGAGAGCGACGTCAGCTGTTGACTAATGGGAAGAGCTGATAGTGTGAGGTGGGAGTAAGAGTGGCAGCGATTGGTCGGCCTTGGTTGTCTGCGCCTAGGCGGGAGCTCCTGGAAGCCGAGGCTGCGGGTGGGGGCCTAGTGGACTGGAGGGGTAACAAGATGGCGTCGGAGACGGTGGAGCTCCATAAGCTGAAGGTACCGTGAGGCGGGGAAGGGCTGAGTTGGACTTTGCTGGGACTGAATTCTGCTGGGTGGCTTGCGCCTTTTCCTACGTGTTCACCTTGCAGGCTTTTCCACTTCGTTTTCTGGCTCCCGCCGTAGTTCTTTTCTTTTGTGCCTCCCTTCGTCCCCGCTACGCCTTCCCCAATTTTCCATTTCTCCGCATGGTTTTACGGTATCTTTGTTATTTTGACTCTTTCTTCATCGTTGTCTCATCTGTGTCACTTCCCCACCGGGTGTGCAAGTGCTTTCAACCTGTTATACCCCCTTCTCGTTTCTCGTCAGAGCTGCATTACGTCAATGGTCCCCTCCTCTTTGCCCCGTGCTGGAGCCAGGACCCCTAGCTCTTCCTTGGATTGATGCTTCCCAGTCTGTTGTCCAGAGCCGCGATTGCGGTTAGCAGATGGCATCTTTGTGTTTTCCACCCATCCAGGTCTCAGACAGGAGCCAAAAAATGCTTCCACTCCTTTTTTTTTTTTTTTTTTTTTTTTTTTTTTTAGGTGGGGTCACGCCTTCGGAGCTAACTTTGAAATTTGAGGAGAAGCCTCAGAAGCTAGGCCTCTCGGTAGAAGCCAGGGGTTTCGAGACCTAAAGGGTTAGCAAAGGCACAGATAGGTCAGATTTAAAAGTTTTTCGAATTCTCCCACGCGCTTCTCCGCCTGCCAGCCTTACCCCCTACCCTTACCCCTTACCAGTAGAGAGACAACTCAGTCATAGCTGTTAATATTTTGGGAAAGCATTTCCGAGGTTATCTTTAGCTCTTCCCATTTCACGTTGCGGATGGATCCGGACCCTGCATCTCTTGGTGTCACCACTGGGTGACACTCTCAGTCACAGGGTGGTTTTAAGTTGTATCTTTGAGGAATGTTGGTAGCTTCGACATATTGAGATTGTTATTTTTCTAGAAGAAAAGAGTAATTTTAGGGCGAATTAAGAGAACTTCTTCTTTAGTTGTCCATTTGTGGTTTCACAAGTAGCTTTCCCATCAGATGTTTTGCTCTTGTTTTGGTCACATCCTGGGAACCTTAGACAAACCAGGCTGATTTAGCCAAAGCTAAAAACTGATGCTTTAAAGCTTGATGAGCTTAAAAAAAGACATAAGGAGAATAAGTGTAGGGAGGACACATACTAGTTGACACCAATTAACCTTTCTGTGAAAACTGGTTTCTTACTCATGGATTCTAAACTGTGCTAGTGGGTTTTCATGGATCACGGAGTTACTGTTAAATTGGTGACACTGAAATGTGTAGATCATATTTGTGGTCTCCTAATATAATGAGTAAAAAAAATTGAGTAACCACCTCTGTCATATGTGTAGTTACTTAAATAAATTGTGTTCTGCCATAATGTTATGTGTGTTATGAAGCATGCACAGGAAAGAAAGTTTTGAGTGAATGAGATAAAAAGGAAATATGAATAGAAGATTTAATATTTTCTTTTTATTCCACTTTTGAAATCACTGGAGTAAGTCACCAGCTGTATGACTTGCCTTTATGGATTTAATATTGGTTTATGGAGTGATTCTTTCTATGAGATCTGTTTTGTCAGGTCTGTATTAAATTTGATATTGATAGGATAATGTCTTCTGACCTGATTTCGGGTTTTATAGTCTGAGAGAACATGAGGCACTCCTGACAGCCTGAAAAAGATTCACTCTTTTAATCACATTTGCTTGTCTTTGCTTTTTCTCTAGAGCACTTCTTAACCTTTTGGAGGTCACAGATATCTTTGAAACTCTGATGAAAGGTATGGACCCTTTCCCCAGAAAAAGGCATGTACACATACTTTGCATGCGATTTGAGGGGCTTCATAAAACTACCTTGTAGCCCTGAGGAGTCCGTGGACCTCTGGTTAAGAACCTATGCCTTTAATTCTGACTTCTGGGACAGTTAATGTTTGGTTCCACTGTCGATCTTGATGGAGTGATCCTGATTTTTGGGTTGACTTAGAGTTTTATCTCTTTTTTAAAAACTCCTCCCAGTTTTATAAAAAGAATTTGGGGCTTTAATATGGAGTCCCAGAAGAAAGAAACAAGCTTTGAAGTAAGAGGGGAAAGTATTAATTGGATTGATATGTAAGTCCACATCAACAGCAAATTTCTGAAGATTTTGTAGAAATGCAGTCATTCTAACACAGAAAGAGACTGAATGTGGATGAAAATGCCTTGAATTGTAATAGTACCAAATTTATAGTCCATGCTGAAAACAGGGACTACTGCAGAGAGAACCACAAGGGTGTATAGTATAGTGTTAGATAATATTGAAGCATAAAGCGCATGTGTGTTGGTGGTTGAAGATAGTTTGGAAAGCAGGTGAACTTTGTGACCATAAAGGTGGAATGGAGTGATGTTGAAAAGGGCCTTTTGACTTGTGTAAGGTGTTTGTTTTTTGTCATGCAGGTGGAAGGTGAGGAGCCTTTGAAAATTTGAAAGGAAGAGCTGATATGATCAGTTGTTGTTCTTTTGACAGTATGGAGGATGGGGTCTGGAGACAGAGAGATTTTTACCAGTTAGATTTTCATTATAGTAGTCACTCTGCTGCTTAAAACCTTTTAATTATAGGGACATCTGGGTGGCTTAGTTGGTTAAGAATCTGACTCTTGGGGCGCCTGGGTGGCTCAATTGGTTGAGCATCTGACTTCGGCTCAGGTCATGATCTCATAGCTCCTGAGTTCAAGCCCCGTGTCGGGCTCTGTGCTAACAGCTCAAAGCCTGGAGCCTCCTTCAGATTCTGTGTCTCCTCCTCTCTCTGCCCCTCCCAGGCTCATGCTCTGTTTCTCTTGCTCTTTCAAAAATAAATAAACG